TGTCGTCACTTTGAAACTGGGAAGGAAAGACACCAGCCAGACCCTAGAAGAGATTCGGTGAAATCTAAGTTGTAATTATCCATTGACTCTTTTAAACTCTTACATCAGTATGCATATTCTCTATACTGTTCTCTACACATTTCCTAAGTGCCGACAAGGAGAATTTGTTTAACAATCTAGTGCTTTGTTAGTTGGTGATCATTTCCTTCATTCCCGTGACCTAAATGTGTGATTCTGAGGTGATATTGTCAAGAGAAGTCAGTTGCTAGCCACTCGTTGGAGACAAAGAATGAAACCTTTATACCAAAACAATTATATAAAAATTTGCAAATTAGGGCAAATCAAGACCTTACTTCCCTTCAAAGTCTCACAACTTTTTAAAAAAGCATTTTGTTGCATGTAATATATCATTTGTGAGATTACAGGCTATGAAACCTACGCAGAGATAACAGAAAACCAACGCAGCAGTCAAAGGTCAATCACGTGTAGGTGGGCAGCTGCGCGTCCATTTCTCACGCAAAATATGCGCGAAATAATTGAATGTTCATGGAAACTTGCAAACGAAACACAAGTAAGGTGAAGGAAAATTGAGACTTTTCGAACGCGAAGCTTATTGAAATACGGGTAACCTTTTGATTTAACCTTTTGTTTTGAGCTTTACCAAAAGAGTTATACCATTTCAAAACACCGAGCATAACTGAATTATGAAGTTGTTTGTAAATCCTGTGCGACAAATTCGACAGCCTGAAAAAAAGGTCTCTTAGACATTACAACGATCGCACATGCGCAGACGTTTGACTACTGTATTTATTAGAAAACCACGTGCCTTACCAACAACAGTGCCAGTCCCTTTTTCCCAACAGCATTCACTCCTGAACTCTCATGCCACTCGTACTCATCCTCATCGTCATCATCAGCGAGCCCTTCAATTGCATCCTTCACCAATTTGAACAGCGCCTTGATGCACTGTTCATCTACCAGAAGAGGAGCGGCACGATCCAAGAGCGCTTTGAGCGTCTCTAGAACAGGATGCTTAGAACCAAGCTTAACGACAACGTCACTCTGCCAAATAGAAACAAGAGGCGAATGTCACCGGACAAAATTAATGACCTATACATTAGCAACAAAATTTGGTAGATTAACTACAAAAGACAAGTAAAAAAAGAAGGTACAACTTTTTACATCACATGAACAGCAAACAGCGGTCACAAATTGGCAATTTTTGACAGTGTTCCTGCAGTAAGACCCTTTTTGTGGAGTAACTTTAATTGGTTTGACTCCATTAAATGAACTTACCACTGCCTTGAAAACGTTTGAACACCCCACATTGGGGTTAACACATGTCTTCAATAGTTCTCTTAAGGTGGCCTCCTTAATCATCCCTCGCAGTTTTTTGAGATTTTCTTGAAATTTAAATGCATCTGGAAAAGCTCCTAATAGTGCAAGAATACAGAACACGACTTTTATTAAAAGAGTATAGTTAGAACACAAAAATAACCCAAAAGATGTTTGATGTTACTTAAACAAAAACAAATTATCAGCCTCTTGGCTCTTCTCTGAATACTTTTTATCACTCAAGAAACTACTTACTTGCAAGGGAGATAATCTTTGAGAACACCAGTGTCTCATTATCCTGTGACTTTGAAGGAAAATAATTAAAGAAACGGTTAAACCTATCACTCCAAGGAACCACAAGAGAATTCTCTTCACTGTCTATCAAACATTTCTCATAATTACAACTTTGAGAATTTAGAGTTACATCAAACAAAAACCCTTAGTTGATATGAGTATTTCTTCTCCTCTCCTTTCTGCTCAAAAATCTACTGATGTTGTTAGGAGAAGTTTTGTTTTGATCACTCCCGGGAGAGAGAGAGCATTTAACCAGTAGAGGCATGATGCCCTAACAGGGATTGTAAAAAGGTCTTCAAGTAAGCATGGCATGATCTTTCTGATTGACAAAAGGGTGTGGTTAAGGTACTGGGTGTAGCTATAGGGTGTGGTACTTTCCTCAAATAGGTCATGGAAATCAAAGGCCAGGTACCTTGATCAAATAGGAGACAGAGCCAAATTACTTTGTGAAGAAATATGAAAGAGTTATGAAAGTTATCCAATAGCAAAACACCACTGAGAAACTTTACCTTCTCTTCTGTTGATAACTCAATTAGATCTGCTATGTCTGAACGCACCCTGAAAAAAATATAGGATCTTTTTTTGTCGTAGTTGTGTATAAGAACGTTTTACTAACAAAGGTACAAATGAGCTCAATGTTGGAGTAACAGAACAATAATAACTCACTTCTGCTGACAGGTCAAAATTCCATGAAAAGCACTAGATAGTAGAAAAGAGAAAAGGCTGTCGGTAAATGGCTCTAACTGGAATTTAACATTTTTGGTAAAAGACAATTGCTGTTAGGGGGTCACGTGGCACGAGATAGGAATATTAATTGAATGTTGGAAACAACAAATACACAGATAGTGGAATTGACAAACAGAAGAACAAACCAACATACATGCATGGGTGGGAGGGGCGTGGCAGGCGAGGGGGAAAGGGGACGAGTGGGGGGGTAGTGAAAATGTAAGGACAAGAAAAGGAGAAAAATTGTAGGTGTAAGGGGGTGAATAAGAAAGAGATGGGGTAAAAAAAAAAAAAAAAGAGGAATGGAGAAGACTAGTAACTTGGTAAAAGAGACAAGTTATATTTCCAGAAATTAGATGATTTACCTCACTGCTGCTTCATCAAGTTTGCAATAAATATGCAGCAATCTTTTCATCTTTTGGTCAGCCTCTAAACTGACTGGCACTAAGCATCCGATTAATATTCTCTCCACACAAAGTCTGTAAAAAAGGTGACACAGATAGAGATATTTCAGTACATTAACAAACCCAAAGGTGACACAGATAGAGATATTTCAGTACATTAACAAACCCAAAGGTGACACAGATAGAGATATTTCAGTACATTAACAAACCCAAATGGGACACAGATAGAGATATTTCAGTACATTAACAAACCCAAAGGTGACACAGATAGAGATATTTCAGTACATTAACAAACCCAAAGCCCTCCAAATGGAAAAGGGGTCATACGATTGGGAAAACAGTTTTCTTTCCATGCAGTTTACCTGTGAATTTGGCCAGGAAAATTGTACAAAGTAAACAGTTTGTTACTCTTATCTTTGTCTTTTTCTGTTCGTTTGTTTATTTGTTTGTTCTACTTCAACCTGAAAAAGCCTCAACTTTAACATTGCTGAGGTAAAACATGCCATCATCTGGCATAATTTTAATTGAAATTACTCTTGTCCCCGTCTAATAGAACAGTTTCGTTTGAGTGTCAAAAGTAATCCAGACTTGCTTTGATTGTACTATGTTAAACAATAAGATTTGGTTAAAAAAATTTGCACCACCTTCGCAAATAATAAGACACAAAGCTGAAATCAATCTCATTATTGCAGCTTGCATTTTTACTGCACTGCAGGCAGTTTGCTTGTTTTCCCTTAAAGTTTTCACTGTTTTTAGATGCTAGGTTTGTGATTACTTGGGTTTGGATTTTATAATGCTCAATCAAAAAAATAAATTCCATCTCTTCATGTTCTAAGTTAGTCTTATTACCTGTTTTCTGGAGTGTTCAGATAATAGCAGTGAAGTAACTTGCTTGGAACCCAAGATAATTTCTTTGCTGCTGTTCTGTTTGCAGTAGCCCTGAGTATAGAGGCAAACAACACACTCTTAATAAACAACCAATCAACATAAAAAAACCACACAGAGACACTTATTATTAAATAAGCAATTAAAAATTATTCGACTACTGACCCTGTTGTCATTTTCTTGTACAATTTTCCGAGACACATCATTGCTTCCCTCCTGACATGCCACTAATCCAATCAGGAAAAAAAAAAATTGAAAATAGAAGCATTAATGGTCATGAACAAATGGTACTTCAGGGCAATTGCTGTTACGTTACTGCAATTAAAACCTTGCAACTGAATAAATGGAATCCTACCTTCTTATCCCTAGTTCTCTCACACACATCATTGAGAAGCTATGAAAACAAAAAACAAACAAACAAACAAAAAAAAAACAAAAAAAAAGAGAAAGAACAGACATAAATATGCCTCAACTTGTTGACAAACCCTAGCTCTTGTCTTGCAGAGACATATTTCACCCTTTGACCTCAAGAATGACTAGCATCTAATTTCTCCTTACAATATCACCCCTGAATCACACATTTAGGTCAGGAGAATATAGGAAATGATCACCAAACAAAAGATGCTTTTGATTGTTAAACAAACTCCTCAAGTCAACGCCTGAGGAAATTCATAGAGAACAGTATGAATAATTTGCATAATCTTTAATCTTTAATATTATTTTCTTTATTTATTACACGACTTGGGCAGTCAGAGGGCCAATAACTAAAATCAACCAATCAAAATGTTCTATTGCAGGTCAATATTCTCTAAGTATTGGACCTGGCACTGTCCCAAATGATACTACACTTGTGTCCCTTTGAACTTCAGTCGTCTAATAAATCTCTTATTAACCAAGCTTGCTCGGGACCGTACTGGAAGAATATCGGCCCTCGGTCTTTTTTGTACGGACCTCGCTGCGCCTGGTCCATACTGTCAAGACCTCAGGCCGATATTCTCCCAGTACGACCCTCACGCTTGGTTAATAAGATATATACAGCGCCTGGTCCATAGGAAGATGCTCCCAAGAGCTTTACAATAATAGATGTTAAGGGTTAAACCTTTTGCATTCTGCGCACCTTGACTGCACTGTGAGTCAAAATTGACCAGATATTAGCACAGACTTAGTCTAGGTTTCTTTTGTTCCTAATGTTAATCTTCAATGAGGATATATACAATTTTAGTAGATAAAAACAATGCTTCCAGGGCTCAACAATAATGGTAGCCCACTAGTCACAGACTAGTAGAAATTCAGTTTTGGCTAGTGGTTTTCAATTTCCACCAGCCAATTTGGCTTGTAAACAGACTGAAATTGTCGTAACATCTAAAAAATCTAACATGTCACTAGCCACATGGCTAGTAAGTTGGAAAAATTAGTGTCGAGCCCTGGCTTCTCTTCCTCTTTACCGACATTCTCCCCACAAACGGAGTATTACCTGATCAGAGACACCACTGATATTTTCTGCAGCTGCATCACAGATAGTAATGACCACTTCTTGTCGAACCCTCTCATCAGGGTCACGTTGTCTTTCGTGGAGTTTATCTTTCGTGCAAAAATAAAGCATAAGATCCCTTAAAAATTCATTCATTCAATCAGCAGAGTTTGTATGTGATTGCAACAGACATTCTGTTATTCAAAAAAAAAAACTGTGCAACAAATTGGACTGATAAATTGATCAATTATAACACCAACTGGGAGATAATAACAAATAACAGTAGATGCAATTAGAAATCCCTTGCTAAATAAATGTTTCGTGACTGCTGAATAAAGGTCAACAAATGGCCAACCTTTGCTGAAAATTCAGTCCCCAAAAGATTTTCTCCTTCCCATAGCAATCAAAACATTTGCACCTTAGAGTGCTGGTAGAATGAACACAGTTATCACAAAACGAAGTTCCAAGAACATTTTTAAACCAACCACTTATATCTGCCACCAGGTCAGGGTGATCTTTCAAAAATTCCTTGCATCTTTTTATGCATTCCACACGTACATCCACATTAATATCCACAAATCTAAAAATAAACAGTAAAAAAAAAGTTGAAATGTAAAAAACATGTCCAATGACCCTTCATGCAAAAAATATGCTCCAACCATGCTTTTCCACCCTTGTGTCAATAACAGATGCAGATCATAATTAAGTCTTACATTACAAGTATAACCATAGATGACATCACAATACAATATCAACTAACAAGGCAGAGAATTTCTCTCAACTTTGCAACTCTTCAAATCACTCCACTTTGAATTCTGGGCCAATAGCTGCCAATGCACACTAATATTACTAATTATTATATGGTTGTGTCTCACAAGGACTGGGAACTACCGAATTCCCGAATTTGATTGGCTGAAATCAATATTGAAAGCGGTCTAGATTTTCCCATCTAGACCGGCATCTAGACCAGTCTAGAAAAAAAAGGTACAAAGAATATAAAAAATTGGCATAATAAGACACAGCCATATAATAAACATCTTATTAACCAAGCTAGGTCAGTCTGTATGGGAGAATCTTGACCTCGGTCACTGGGACAGACCTCACTACATTCGGTCTGAAATGGCGACCTCAGTCAAGATTCTCCCATACAGACCTCCCGCTCGGTTAATAAGAACTAAATGAAGCTATCCCCACTTCACTCTCAGAGGGGACACTAGTCCGTTCCAGGTCACCACGGAGTAACATGTCAGGTACAACTGTAATTTAGATAGGGTCAAACATGTCCTTCTTTTCTTTTTTTTTTTTTCAATTTTCCTTCAGACCACTTGAAGCTAAAATCAGCAATTTTACCTTCCCAGGTAGGAGTTCCACAAGGCTTTATTTTGAGTTGCTAGTTCAGAGTCCTGCTCAGAAAACATCTGGCCAAGTAATTCAGTGACTGACAATCTCTCCTCCACATCCTCACTCTGCAAACTTTTTAAGCCCCAATGCAATTACTACAGACATTGCTAGGGTTACCAGACAAATTATTTCAAGCTTTTTAACTGAAAGCAATGTTAAAAATTCAAGTATTTGGCTGCACTACAGGGAATTAATTTTTCTTGGATGTAAATCATTCAGTAATCTACCAAAAATTTACCAATCTATGTATACATTAAGACTTTGGGCGTAAGTACCTCACCTAAATTTAAAGGCCATTTTAACTTTGTTTGAACTTCCTTGTTGTCTCCATAGGAAATGTCTTTCATGATAGCACCAAATTTTTCATTGCCAAACTCCTCATTGCAAGAATTGCAAAGTGATTCACTGACACTACAGGAAAGAATTACTTACAGATGTCTCAAACAGTAACAGATTACACAAGAAGAAATTACCTTCAATTTAAACTCCAGCTGGGGAACCACTGAGAGCAGCACACTTGGACAAATTCTGTTCAACTCCAATATAAGGTCATAAATATTATCTGCTAAAATACTGTCTGCTGTCTTACCAAGAGCCAAACTGCTGTTGAAGAACTTAAAAAAAAAAAAAAGTGGGCTTGGTTATAAAAAAGTTTCATTTGTTTAACCTTTTAATTTTATGAATGGGTTACAAATGCTTGCTTTACAAAACTCTCTGCTGCCAAGTGCCTTCATGAGCTTCCTTTTTACTGCTTTTTCCTCTTCTCTCTCTTACATCCCTACTAGACCCCAATCTCCCTGGCTGCTTCCCTGTCATTCGTGTCTAGATTATACATTCAACACAACCTAAAACATTGGTGAATTGGAAATTTCATAATCTAAGGGGTAAAACTAAATGTAACACACCCATGGAATAACTTTAAAGAAGTTTCTTTTAAAACTTGTTAAAAATTTGTATCTGCAACCCAATTCCTGTCCTCCTTGGGGTCCTAAATTAATAGAGACCATTTAAGCTTAGTTCAAGTCTTACCCAAGAACACCAAAATGTGCTTTAGTATTATTGATAAAACCAATATCCTCTCACCATTTGCAAGTAAGGCTCTAAAGAGGAGGATGTTCTCTTGATGAACTCACAGGTAAGTTTATAGGCTATAATGTTCTCACTCTGGAAGTAAATAGGAAATATTTATCAAATCATAATTAATTAAACTGATAAATCATAACAGAACCTGGAGATTGGTTTTTGGTTAGGTTCAAGAGTTTTTTCCTGGCCTCTAGAAATCTCTGGCTGAATTTCTAGACCTGTAATCTTTAAGGAAGATTAAATATTTTAGGCTGCAAATCTTTCATTTGCAAACATTTTAAGATATGTAAAAGAACAAGTCCAAAGCACCATGGACAATAATTATTCACACTTCTCATCTAAATTACAAAAATAAAAGCTACACAAGAACCAATTGGTTATAAAACTAACAAATCTATCTATTAAAAAATTTCCAAAGCATAGGGAAAATAATAAAAATTAATGAAATAAAACAAAGACAAACAATCTGTATAGCTAAATGTATTTAACTATGTTATACTGGCTATAATTTAAATACTTTATAAAAAAATTATTGCTGTACTGATATGTAAAAAAATTAATGTGAAGAAACTGACCCGCCATAGAGCTTACCTTTTGTGGTTCAACAATGTTGATAAGTACTGTGTCTAGAAGCTCCTGGGGAATGGAGTCCCCCTCTTGAATAATAGGACACATCACATCCAGCATAAAATTCTGAATTTTGTTTGAATGGTTTTCACTAAAAACAGAGTTGTAGTGTATTAGGACCCAAACTCCTCCCTCACCCCCCCCCCCTTGGGGGACATGTAAGGCCTGGTTGTGGAAGTGAAAAGAGAGTTGTGCAAGCAGAATTAAAATGTTGTGGTTTGATATATAGTCCATAGCAATTGTTATTATTTACCGATGAGATCGGTCACAACAAGAGTTAAATTGGTAATAAGTAGGAGCAAGTCTAATCAACTCTTAAATTCCTAACATCTGATAAATCAGTCCTTTATACTGTGAACATTTTGGTTGCTGGGGTGACTACAAATAGTCTTCAGCCACTAAATTTGCTGAACAAGCACTGGAAGCCACTTGGGACTTGGGTGACCTGTGGCTAGAAGGCCATGAAGTAAGTTGTAACATTTTTGAGTTATTTTTTTAAAAAAAATAACTATATGTTAGCGTATAGATTGGTGTATTGTGGTGTAGTGTAACCCGATCAGCGCAATTTGGTGTATCTCTAAGCAATCTGATTGGCGCATCTTTTTTTTGGTGTATCTCAACGCAATATGATTGGCCTAATTTTTTGGTGTATCACAAACCAATCAGATTGTAGTATTTTTCAATGTCGCACCAATCAGAGCGTTCTTGCTAATTTGTGGTTTGACAGGTTTAAAAATTTCAGCGAATCAACACCTGAGTCGGAGAGAGCAGTTCGCGAATTAAGGAAATGTATCAGTCGTGTTGGGAAAGTGGTGGAGTTGTGATCGTTGTACGACTATGCTTATTCTTCCTTCTTTGTTTACAAGAATTTCTCTTGCTTACATCTAATAACAAACCTTTGAAGTGTTTTTTGCCTCGGAACGATATATCACATAAGGTATTTTATAGACCTCAAGTTTTTTGACTCATTGAAATTAAAAGTACGTATGTGGCAGTGACTTCCACAAGTTTTTTTTTTTTGGTCTGAAAAGTATAATTGTTTTGTCCGCAATATTAATTTACGGATGGATTCAATCGCCAATGTTTACATGTTAAAGATGATTGTATTAATTAATCGAATTTAAACAATCGGCCAAAACTTTTACTGTTCCCAAGGGTTGTTGTTTTCATCAGTACTTTGACAATAGTAGTGATTCACGGTACTAGGTTTGTACTTTAAATAAATATATTTAAGTTCACTCGAAAGATGAGTATAAACTGTAACAAGCTTATCGTTGATGCGCGGCCAGACTTCAAATCTGACTGACACTCGATGCCAAAACTCAACCTCGTTCTCTGGATATGTCCACCACATTACTTTACGCTAATTTAAAAACTGCGCACTATTGTGCATTTTCTTGCACAGGAAAAACCAAATGGAATCTCTGATTCTGGCCCTTAATGGTAAGAATAATAACTAGGGCTTTGCCTCTGACGAAGGAACGGCAATAAGCACAATTTTCACCTGCCAGCAAGTCGTTGTTTGGTCTCTTCATGCAATGTCGGAGAGAGAGAGAGAGCGTTGCGTGACAAGTTCAAATTAGGGCTGTGGAGGGGACTGCAGGAAACATTGAACCAATGCAGTTTATTTTTGCCAAAAATTACTCAGACACCAGCATCAGTTATATAGTGTCCTGTTTCAACCTACGTATCCCAAAAAAATAACTCCTGCATGCGTAGCATGCCTATGTTTATATCTTAGTTTCCATGGCGTGAATCCAAAGCGAGGAAAACATTTTCATAAAACAACTAAACAAAGCTGATCATCACAAGCTTAGCGGGCTCTTCTAGTCAGCAGTCATTGCAAAAAGTGCAGGCTCATGTGGAATATTGCAAGTTTCTCATAGCTGACATCTTTGGCTTCTCAAGAAGTTTAGCAGCTACCATTACATTGTAACAATTGTTGTCTAGCCTTCTCTCAAACCAATCCTTTCTCTGTTTTTTCCTTCTTTAAATCTAGTAGGTATTGATGGGTTCCTACAATGGGAACTTGTGGCCAGGTTTAGGAGATTTGCCTGCCATGGGGAGGTATTCCATCTGGATAATTGGCTGGCCAAAAATGGAAGCCCCTGGAAAACTCCTATATCAGACTTCCATTTAACCCTTTACCTCCAGAAGTGATAAACAAAGTCATATTGTTACATGCTCAATTCAAGCCAGAACGTTTCAATAAACACAAGGTTTTCGTACTTATTCTATATTCTTCGAGCACATGGTTTTTTTCCTCTCTTTTGTTCCCAACACTCATTACGGTTCATGAACTCGCAGTCACATACTCGACAAAACATGTCAAGTACCCTACACATATTATTATAACTTTTCGCCACAATGCCCATAGGTTATTCAGCGAACAGGTAATGGGAATACTCAAACTAATCAGGTAGAAGTTAATACCTTGATCTAACACTGCATTCTTGTAACTAATTTACAAGGAAATGTTTCACTACTAGAGGGATAATTAATAATCAGATGTAACAGAGCTCAAAACTAACTTTTCAATTTACTCACCAAGTGGCTAGTGACATCTTAGATGTTACGACAATTTCAGTTTGTTTACCAGCCAAACTGGCGAGTAAAAATCGAAAACCACTAGCCAAAACTAAATTTCTACTAGTCTGTGGCTAGTGGAATACCTTTAGTGTCAAGCCCTGTGTAAGTCTACATTTATAATATTTTAACTCACTTGACAACTTGGAAGAGCACTTTGAATAATTGCAGTATAATATCTTGAAAGTCCAGCTCAAGGCAAATATTAAAGGACTTAACCAGTGCTAAACTCTAAAACAGAATAGAAAATTTTAAGTTTTATTCCCAATATAAAAATGAAGAACCAACCATAACTAAGCATGCTTTTTATCCACATACCTCTAAAAGATAGAAGGATTTCTTGGATAGATTGGATTTGGTATTTCCAAGCCCTTTTAATTGATTTGTCATCATAAGAAACACTGCCTGGAAGTAAAAAGCCGCAGTTGCTGGTTAGGAGTGAAGTTACATAATTACTGTGTTTTATCATATGACCCATCCAGCCCCGATCATGCAATCCTATAGAAAGCTTTAATGAAAGTTCATGTGTAGGGAAGGGCAGGTTGTCCAGAAAGAGCTGTCTGGTCCTGCTCTCAAATAGATTTGTTGCAAAAAAACAAAAAAAATTGTTTAAGCTGAACTTACAGGAAAACAGAAATGAGAATTATGAGTTTCTCATCTGACTCCAAAAAAATAAAGACACAGTTTATATTGTATGATCTTTTTTGTGGCTGCTCCATGAGTGACCCCATCCATGATGTCCTATCTATTACAAGGTTGAAACAAAGTTTTCAGAAAATTTCATCACCTGGTGGTCATATGATAAAATTCTTATTGACTGAGTTTTTTTGGGTCAGAGGGGAAAATATTTAGTTCTTATTCATGATGTACAGACCTCCATGTGATAAGTCTGTGCCTCGTGACCCATCCAGTCAATAAGTATAGTCAATAGGTCAATAAGTCAATAAGTCAATCAATCCAGTCAATAAGTACATAACATATAGATTTAGCCAAGCCTAAAAGCGGAGCTCACATTTTTTCTTTCCCCGCACATCTCAAGGGCACAACGCCTTGCCCCGGCCAGGACTGGAACCCAGGTCATCCAGCTCGGAGCCCAGTACACTGACCACTGGACAAAGCTGTGGCGTAGGCGTGCCCACGGTACAGTTGACCACGTATGTTAAAAGTAGCACCTTGTACAGACACCCGAACAGTCATAAGTCCAAATTTTTTCAGCTTCATGGGTTACTACTACCATTTTGTATAAGTATAGAGCTATGCTCAGCTATTATGTGACACTATCTTGCATGATAATAATAATAATAATTTAATATTTATATTGCACAAATTAGCATAGGGATATGATCAAATGCGCATCACAACACTCTTCGGGGGAATTTGGCCGGACTGCATCAGCAGTTTACAAACAATCACAGGAAACTTATTTGAAGATGCCCCCTTCCCCCTAATTCCCAGTAAACAGGCCAGACCACATCAGAGTTATCTTGTGAGTGGGTTCTTTAATATCCCCTGCTAAACAAATTAAGTAGTTAATAGATGCAGGAGATGGGACCTACAGTTTATTCATCCTTGTCCGAGAAGACTAGAATGTCTATCCGTTTCTTGATATTATAGAAAGGTAGCACATTCTCCTCAGATATTTTAAGACCTTGAGTGTTGGTCCAGCGTGGGCACAAACCCTCGACCTCCTGCACAACAATCCGGCCCTCAAACCAATTGAGCTAACTGGGAGGCGGTGATGATAACAATTTTCAAGTTTGAGGGGACAAATTCTTCTGCTTTCAGGTGATAAAAATATCTGCAAGGAACTAGTTTCAATTTTCTCAGCTGGAACTCATTTTTGCGAGTCATAATTTTTTATCATGCATTATCATTACATTTGTGCAAAATCTGCAAATATTAAAATTTACAACAGACAGTTATAAGAAAATGTATCAAGAAAACAAAGGAGAATTTTCATGTTGACTATTTAGAGTGTGCTTTCTATTGGTTTAATTACCAGTATAATAACATGTGTGGGATGTTACGAAAAGTTATTAAATCAAGAGCTTAAGGCAAAAGATTTCCCAATATTAAAAAAGTGAACCAATAAAAAGTGTGGCCTGATGCTTTGATAAAATGAACTTTATTTCCCATCAGTTTAACCAGTGCAATAAATGATTGGTTTTTGATCAATCAGGACCTTTATACAGGGGTTTTGTTAACATTTTCAGCAGGAGAACAACTAGTTTTTACAGGTGGGCAAAACCTTTTCGAATTGAACTTCTTTATAAGATAAACTTTCCTCCTGATTGTCAAACCAGGTGGGCAAAACCCTCAAAACCATTTAATTTACCCGGTGGCCAGGCCCTTAATGAAACTCCTGCCTCATAGTATCCCCCTTATATTATGGAAAACTTGATTACCTTTAATTGTTCTTCCTCATAGGGAGCCTCTGGAGCGTGGATCCGAAGGATGTCAGCCAGGCAACATGCAGCATGTGCCTTGACATCTTTATCTCTGTGTTTGAGAATGAATGGGCTGACAAGGGACTGTGCAACTGTTCCATATTTTTCTGTTCTATCTGTCTGATCTGCATTGGACAGTTCATGAGCAAGGTTCTATCAAATTAATTCAATTAGTAACCGATATGAGCATCAAGTTTCCTTTCTCTTCCTCAAGCATCAGTTGAATCATATTTCCAGTCAGTGGTAGATTTATAATTAAGCTTAATTTTCAAACTCAAGTTTAACACCTTTACAAGACAAGGGGTATGGATGTCTGTCTGTTTACAGCTCGTGTGAAGGTGAGGAATCGATCACTTAAAGTTGGTCTTAATCAAGCCATAGCAATATCTTTTTTATCGATAACAAAAATCAAGAATAATTTAATGAACCTATTTGCTTAATCACCCTCCTGAAAACAATTTTATCATTACAACAATGTAGAGTTCTTACAGTTGATAAGCTTAAACTACCAATCACGATTAACTACTATTACTTAGGTGCTTCTGGAAGCTGCACAATTAATATCAATCATTAAAAGTCAGGTTTCGTTCGTTTGTGTGGTACTCCAAAATCTTGTATCAAAACAAATCTTGTAAACCCGCAATCTCACCCAAAATTCACTTGTGTCGCGGTTTACACGCTTGCAGCGCATTTCAATAATTCTTAAGGTTATCTTCACTCACCTTGAGTCGTTTTATAAGCTCGTCTTTACTAAGTCTTTCATGCAGGTCTGTAGCAGCGGCTCTCTTCTTCGGCGAAGAACCAGATTCATTGCGAGGCATATCGATCTAGTTCAACAATTACTTCAAGATTTACGACCTCCTGCCTCCAAAAATCTGTGTAAAATTGTTCACTAGATAACTTTTTTCCAAACCTGGACTACAAATACCTCTATCTGGTGTAAAGTATCGATTATTTCTTGGATAATACGATTTTTATGGTGGTGTTTTGTCCTCTTCTTTCAATCGAACACTTTGAACCAATTGGCGCGAACAGCCCATAATAATCTTGGCGCTGACATCTGTTTTGGAGATGAACGCGGGCCTGCGCTCGGAATTTTCAGACGAAGAAAAATAATAGGCAAACAAACAACCCTATGGAATGTTTAGCCTCCCAGTCGCAAAAGGTATGTTCTTCTTAGCGTTTTTAAATCATTTCTTCTTCATGGTAAATAGCCTGCAAAAATGGTGCAGTGGGGGGGGGATGGGGGTGGTATGTGGTGAGAAGGGGGTGGGGAGCCGAGAGGTTTTTTTACCTACGGGATAGAAGTTCAAGGATATATTAACCCCCGGGTGCTTTCCCCTTCCCATCTCAAGATGAGGGCGAGGTCGGCGAGTTTTAAATTTACCTTGGATGAAACCTCAACACTATCCGTTGGCCATGACAAGTTATCACTCTTGGCCAGGGGCCCACTGTTTTGGCTCAGGTTTCCCCTTTCTCGCCACAGCCAATCCATGGATATTTAGCGCATTTACAAACTTGATAGTAAAATACAGACAGAAATCTCTTTTCTTTTTCTTTTCCTTTCCTTTATATTTTACAGACTTTTAAACATAAATACCAGTCAACAACTCAACCTTCGCCCCAACTTACATTATGACGTCACAATTCTTCATCAATTTCACTCAATTTCGCAGAAATGATCTTCGAGAATCCGACTTGTCTGACGACAAAAGAAACATGTCACACTGATGTGTTTTTTCATTTTCACTGCCTTTGCATTCTTCGTCGAGAGAAAACTGTGCACTCTTATTTTCTATCGACCTCAGCCAATATTGATGAAAAAATCAGATGAAGAAGACGACGAACAATGCTGCTCATCGTCGGATACCCGAAGAAGTGCCGAAGAGATATCGATTACCGTAGAGGACAACGGAAAAGGTTTACCTTAGCTAAGTAACGATCAGATTTAGCTACGACAAAAGCTGAATTCCGTATAATATAATACAAACGTGATTTACTTCTTAAACCTTTTATATGAAAAAAGCAAATTTCTCGCCTTAGATTTATCTCGATTTAATCTTTATCAGTCTGACTATCCACCTGTAAATTACTCCATCTCAAATAACAAAAATTTTGACCATAAAAGGTTGTATCAGGAAAAGCGAAATTTCTTTCATTTTCGAGAATTTTCCGTGTCCAGGTGGGGTAGGGAGGGTTTATTGTTTATACTGGCTGTACCGAGGCCATTGTACGCATTATAGCACGTGCACAAACATAGAGCGCGGCTACAAAGTCTACCCGGGCTCACCGAACGGAACACCAAACACATGAGAGAGGAGACATAGAAGACATTTAATGCCCTGAATTCGAGGTATTTTCTCTATGTCGAAATGTTTAAGCTTATGTTTACATATTTAACGCCTAAATGTCTGTTTATGGCAACATTTTAGTTCCGTAACTTAAAAAATAGCTGCATATTTGATGGACATGTTCTTCAAGCAAGCAATGGAGTTTGAGTCTCTTGACCCCAGTTTAGCAATCGTTTCCGTCCTAGTGTGTCGCAGAAATTTAGGGTTGTAAATACAAATACTCAGTCAGTATTTACAATTGATATTTTATCAATGACGGAGTGGGGAAAGCAGACTGCTTTTTTTTAAATGGAGGGATGTATAGATTTTTATTCTCACGTGAACGTTCGTATGTATATCGCGACGCTTTTGTTCCAGAGTTCGGCGTATTTGGCATATTCCTGTTCGTAATCTCTGAATCATTTTCGTTACTGATCTTCATACGATCGAGTATAATTTCATGGTCGTCTGTTGTTAAGGCGATGTTTTTCTTGCCACTTATATAGATAGCGATATATACATTTTTTTTCCAGCTTATCTACGGAAGCTTTATCTGCCATTTTGCGCTCATTGTATTTAGGTGAACTGTGAGCCCATTTAAGCGACTCACCTTTTGCTATAATTCCATTTTATTGACCTTTTAGCTTGTTGTGAAATATTTCGTCGAACTTTTAGATGACAATAATTTTTGAAAATCTAGTTGGTTTTATGAAGACATGTTTCATCACTAAATAATGCCTAAACTTCAAACCCTTTCCATGTTTTTGATTGAAACTGTTGCATAGGTTCAGAGGGTAAAGCTCCAGTCATGTTCTGGTGGAGCAAGTATCACAATTGTGGCATATAATTGGCTTGGCAGAAAATTCTGTTTCATGATCATTTCTTTATCTCCTTATCAGGATAACATGATTTATAATGTAAATATTGTTTAGTATTTTCTCTGACCAACTTCCTGCTTATGCATAATCACACATTTTTTACAGACACACTGGGTAATAATAATGATAATGATAATGATAATGATAATGATAATAATAATAATAATAATAATAATAATAAAGATCAATTTCTATAGCGCATTTCCAAGGTTGGAATTTTCCAGTGTTGTAAATGCTCTAATGCACTTTACAACACTGTGTGCAGGACTTTTCCAGACTGCGGGCGGCAGTTTACAATAAATAAAGAAGAAATTTTACAGATGCCCCCTCCCCCCATTCCCTGTTAAGAGAGGGCATGTTTGCTTGTACCAACAAACTGTGCCATGGGCATTTTCAAAAATTTTAGTAGCCAAGTTTTGAAACACTTCTCTGCCCTTGCGATGAAGTATTATTGTTTTCCTCTTGATGACGTTGTATTTATTATATTGATTTCAAGGTTTCAACCACATACACTAGTGGTCATTTTCAGGGAATGAGTTCACCTTAATTTACATCACCTTTTAAGCCGTAGGCTTCTCTGTATTGGGCTGGTATTAATATTGAACAGCTGTGATAAGTACATTTCAGAGATGTATTCCCTCAGCAGATTGCTGGGGCACAGTTCTATTTATATCATGTTATTTATATCATTGGCAACGAAGCTTGTGGGTTTTCTTTTCCCCAGTCCTTGTTGATATTTGTCTTGAAATTTCAGTCAACTTTTATTGAAACACAATGCAAAAGGTCTAGGACCCAAAAGTACAAAGTTAAGAAGCAGGTCTTATTCCCCAGAGACCCTGGCCCTATCGTGCATGCCCGAGGTAACGCAAGTATTATCGTTACAATATTATTAAAGCAAAGTCGTCTTTTGAGATGAAAGAGACTTAACTTCAGTGACGTGAACCAGGATAGTGGAAAGAAATCCCAGAGGGGAAGATGGTGACGATCACAGAAAACTACAAAATGTGAGCCCATGCTACAGTGAACGGCCAAGGGAACACATCTTGGAATGCATTACTACATTGAAGCATGATGCATTACTAAGATATGCATCTCCAGTCAACCCCATCCCCTGAAGAATACTAACAATATCTAATCAAAAAGTTGTGATTTACATTAGAACTGACCTCGTTGTCAGATGTTGAGTGATTATGCTTCACAAGTTTATGATCTTATCATGAAAAAGCTCCATCATTGTTTCAACTACAAAGATAATGAATTTTATCTAAATTTTAGTTCATGCAAGCAAGTGCCCAATTTAGTTTTTCAAGGAAGTGAAACAAAGGCCAAATTTTGCCAGTACTCGATATTGCAAGGGGACCCCTAGCATGTCTTGTTTATTATGTGTAGATAAGATTTTTTCAAGTGAAACATATTTATCTGTTTTTGACATTGTACTGTTTATTTCACAGCTAGCACAAGTGGTGTAAGTCCAGAGACAGTTTCAATAGAAATGCCACCAAGGCGGAAAAGAAAGGCGGCTACAAAAGAAGAAACAAAACTCAAGAAACAGAAAGAGGACTGTGTAACAAGGTAGGCATAATATCAATTTGCTTAAATACAACTTAAGTGCCCATGGGGTAATTTTTTGTTTTCAACACTGTATATTATTCTGGTATCCAAATTATCTTGTAATACCTTCCCCTGACCTAGCACCAGTTTCTTTAGAAACTTACCTTTATCCGCATTAAACCACAACATGTACTGTCTATTATCTTAACTGGACAGCTCCACTCGAAGCTGCCTGAATAAAAGTTCTTGGAATCTCCCAAAGATACACATTTTCACAGATCAGAAGTTATGCATGCTTTTTCTTTCACATAGTTGCATTCTAGTTCTGAATCTTCTTTTTTTCCTTTGTGATATATTTGATCTTTACCTGTGAACATTCAATGGACCTAATTAGACAATAGACTTGTTCAGGTTGTTTTCCTTTATAAACTAATTTTCAGTTCACTGTCTGATGCTAATGACATTTATGAAACATTTTTGTTACTCTAGCATCAAATCTCAAACTTTAACAGAAGACTTAGGTAAACCCTTTTCTCTGAGGCGATGTAGAGCATGGTTTGAACATTATGCAGGTATTTAAAAAAGAATCCTTCACAAACTGTCATGAATTATAACATAACCAAAGTAAAGCACGCACTCTAATTGGTCAATTTAGCGTCCCCCCTTTGCCCACGGGTGTACGCTGCTGACGAGCAAATGCAAAGACTATTTTTCCATGCGCGCTTGTTTTTTCTGGTCACGTAAGATTTGTTAAATAAAAGGGAACTCTTTAGCTACAATGTATCAATGTTATTTTATAAAACAAATG